TTGACCAGTAAAAACTGCATTTGAGGTAAAATTTGATCTCCATAACTCTAAACCTTCCGGATTTTTTAGTACTAGTCCCCGAGAGTCGTTGAGTTCTAACTTTGATCCTATTGGAGCAAGGTTGTCTCCATTTGCATACCAAATGATGGTCCTATTTTGTATCTTGTTATACCATATAGCCAGTAAGAAAAGCTCATTAGGAAGTTGGTAGAAGCCAAATGCAAAATCACCTGAAGGAGAAAGCCATGTAGATGTCTCATTACCAGCAATGAGTGAGTCACCAACCCTTCGACTGCAGTTTATTACAAGCAAGAAACATTAGTAAGGATCTTTGAGAAACTAAACAAGTGTGCAAATCAATGCTAATTGCTAATGTACAAACATATTTGTAAAAAAAATAAAATTATAATTTTGTTTTTTTGTTTTGTTGAATAAAGCTTTGGAAAGTAAGGTTTGTGTAATAAGTTTTAAACAGAATTTATATTCGGTTAGTTTGTATTCTGCAGTTGTTTGGTAATTCTGGCTTACAAAAAGAGAATTTATCTTTTTGCGTTGGATTAACAAGAGAGTTAGAAAGAGTAGTTTGTTTTCATAGTCCTAAGACGGTCAAGACTTCAAGATGAAATGTTACAACTATGGCTAAAAAAGTTTATCATGGAAATTTTTTATTTCTGATTACAATGAACAAAATGACATATTCGGGTCATCTTTCTCGACCAACAGGAATTATCCTATTACTACTTTAGATCAACAATCTCCTTTAACTCGTAAATAAGTGAGTGAAAGAATTGCCAAGCGTCTTTGTTGGTTTTGCGGGAAAAAATGGAATAAAGATCAATAACAAAAAATGTAGAGTATGAGGAAAGCTAAATGGTATATTTGTGGCACAAGATCACATATTTTTGGTGTAGATAGTGAACAAGACATTGAACTAATTACAAATAGTTTGTATATGGTTGGGAATCCTGATACATATAATGGTTTGCAAGGAATTACATGATAGCAGAATTCCAGTGGAAAGTCCTAGTATGGGGGAGGGGAGGGAGGGATCAAAGACATTTATTAGAGTTTATATTACTGAGAATTATTGTAGCATATTTATTATTTATTATTTATTAGGTTTATTGTATAATTGATTAGTTAGTTAGCCAGTAATCTAACCTGGCATTGGTAGATGTAGGACAGAAGACAATGTTGTAGTCTACAGGATTGGGACAGGTGAAGGTGCTGGTTTGGTCGTCCTGTGGGTAGCTGTAGGCTTGCGGACATGCCGTCTTGAATATTTTGGAGTACACACTTGGTTCGCACGAGGAACGGTTCCCGACGCAACAAAAATAGTCCTCTTGGAACGCACTGCAAGGGTTCTGACATGCCACCACTTCTTCATTTCTGGTTGCCTTTAGCTCCGCCGGACACACTGCGTTCAAATCCACCACGCACCCCGTGCTCTTACAGTTGCTGCCGGAACCACTTATGGGAACAACAATCAGGGGCAGGTTGAACCCGTCCACCAAGCTCACGTCATAAAAGTCAATATCGTTGAAGCCGTCTAAACTGAACTCCACCAGCGTGTTCGGTGGAGAGCCTCCACTTCCATTACATGCTATCTTGCCAGAACTGCAGTCGCCGGTAGCACAAGAGAACTTTCCGGTTATTAAGTCGGTGGTGCAGAGTGTACGGCCCCAGATTCGACCCAGCCAATTCACGGGTACATTGACACTGGAATTTTCGCCGCTTGGCAAAACGAACCCCGTGGTTGAAAGACTGACGTTACCAGTCAGAGCTGGCCACACCGTGTAGTTGCATTGGTTGATCAAAGTCAGTTTAGCGGAATTGATCCCTGTTAATTAGGTAATGTTATCAGAATTGGATGACACCTTCAAGATTTCAAGGTTATGCTGACATTAAAATTAACTGTAATTTTTAGAAAACTTAGGTCGAACCTGATAAATGAAGCGTTAATGATACCAACAGTGAGAAGAACCATGTTGACTGAACCATGTTGAGAATGAAAAAGGAAAAAAAAAATGGAGATTATGATGATGAAGCGAAAATTAAGGGCCAGTTATGTAAAGAGTGTAGCTTTCTTTGAATTCATAACGTGTACGTCATGGCTTTTCATCTCTGGAAAGAGACGCTTGTTGACCTTGGATATCATAAAGTTGATTGTAGCCTTGCATCTCTGGAATAGAGACTTTGTGCTCCTGAACGTCCTTTTTGGTCTAGTAGCACATGCCAGACACTGTTGTATTTATGAAACTTATACAAGCAAATCTTATAATCAACAGCAGTTTTGATATTCTTAGTCTTTCAAAGTATTTTTAGTTCATTTTGCATTTTATCTTCTGATGAAAACAAAGAAAAGAAACTGAAATGATAAGTGTGTTTATAGATAGAGATTTAGATAACTTATGACTCTTATTTTCTTTAGTTTTAATAATTATAATTTGATTTTAGTTTTTCATAACATAATCATATTTACTTAATTACACCCATACAGTATCATCCTACGTATACTTCATATCAATGTTTCAACTATCATGTGTTCTCAAAGTACCTTTTCTCGATAAAAACAATAACAATATTTTTTTCTTCTAATTTATAACCATAATCACAACATTGGTAATAAATCTTTCCTTATATTTTCTACCAATTTTATAATACTCATATCAATTATCTGAAAATACTTTTCTTCTTATAAGATTCTCAAGTATATCTCTCTAATTTAAATGATAATATAAAACAATTATAATAAAAATAGTAAACTACATATAATAGAAAAATTTTCTTATAAAAAGAATAAACTCCATAAAAGACTTCTCTTACCTTTATTTTTTATATTTAAACTAACATGAACTTCCTTCTTAGTTAGTAATACTCCCTGCACCTCACCTGTTTCTCTCTACACCTTTCATTTTACACATTTGTCCTTCATTTATTAAAGTCAAATGAAAATTAATGATGAGTTAATGATGAGTTAACCACCACCAACAACCCTAAATGGTATAAATCCTAAATATCATTTGTTGCCCTACATGCACCCACTTTCCTCTGCTTATTTTTTCACTTTCATCCTTCACTTCTTCACTTCTTCATTTCTTCACTTCTTCACTTGTACTGTTATATTGTTTTCTAAGTTTAGAGTTGTAAAGTTATACAGTAGTGGTTGTGCTTGTGCTGGTGGTGCTATGGACACTAGAGGAGGAAGAGTGTTGGTGGTGCTGTAGACAGTGGAGGAGGAAGAAGGCAGCGAGAGCTCACGAGGTTAGTATATTATTTGAAGTAAACACGTTAACCGCCGTTGGAGATGCGTTTAACGATGGCGCAGTTCGAAAACCGATTACACCACGCCGAAATTCGAATTTCGGCTTACCCCAACCGCACTTCGAACTTCAATTTAGGGGTGCCGCACTTCCAAGTGTGGTTTCACTATGTAGACTTTTTTTTTTGACCGAGCCTACAATTTCATATGCTTACTTATGATCATTTGATATTTATTAGCACATTGCATTCTGAATCATCTCTCATTTTTGTTGTTTGTTTATTGTGATATTATGGCTTATGCTTGCTTCTGATCTTTATTTGCACATTGCAATCTGAATCATGTCTCATTGTTCGTTTATTGTCATATTATGGCTTATAGTATGTTTGAGTATGTATGGGATCCAGTTTGATTTACATCATGTGAATGTTAGATTGACAATAAGTTTAGAGCAATAATGGATTTCATTTCGTACAAGTAAACTTCCATTTCTATTATACCATTACCATTACCCATTATGATTCATTTACTAATATTAAGTTTTCAGGTTCAATTACAAGATGGTTGTCCATTACCCATGGTGGACATCATTTCCTCAAACCATTGTTACCCAGAGGCGCGATCATGGTCATGATTTTATACACATAGGATGCAATCATTTATGGAGATAATGGGAGTGAATAGAACTTATGTAGATCTTGGAGAAGACTGAAATTAAGTTTGTTTTGTAGTAATTTATTTTTTCAATTGTAAATATGTTTTGTACTAGTTCATTGTTTTGAATTGATTGTCGTATTAATTGTCCTTTATTTGAATTATGTCTCATTATATAATTATTCATATTAACGTGTTCAACAAATTATAATTAGTCATAGTATGAAAACCATACATAAATATGCATTATAAATACTCAAAGTATAATTAAGCGTTACGTAAATAAGCATTAAAAAAACATATATAATAATGTCCTTTCAATAAAATGATGCTCGTCAACGCACATGACGAGCACCTCTAGTAGTACTAGCCTCATACTCCTCAACGGATCTACGAGCAACTTGTAGTGTCTTAGAAGTACGCTGATAAGGTACAATGCCCTCTGTAACGTCTCGGCAGGTTAACATGCTCTGCAGCATCCTGATCACATACCTCATACCACACTGAAATGAATATAAAAAAATAAATAAATTAACTATGTAAACAAAAATTGATATAATAAAAAATCGCACTTAGTTTCATTACATACCAAAATCCATATTCAGGCGTCCATCTACGACGAACTGGGGGCACCGAGATGTCATCCGGAAGGTGTCGCCTCATGCACGGTGCAAAATTGGATCGGTCATCATCGTCAGCTGGAGTGATGTATGGGTGGGACACCCGTCTAAAACACACTAGGTATCCATCAACACACATAGAGGGCTCATGAGCTTCAGCGACACCAGTAATGGCATGCTCTACATACCTCAACCAATTTAGATCAATTGTAGGAATGTCTAGCATCGGAAGGCATCCTGAAAACATACATATGGCCATGAAAGGACAGGTATACGTCTATGTGAAATGTATGGATGCTAGATGACCGAATCATAAGTGAGCCCATCAAAATATGTTCGCCCCCACGTCAGACTCCAACCTTGCCTTGGAGCTATATATCATGAAGCCTGTGGATCGAGGTTCTTGTACCTATCCGACACTCGCCTCCTTCCCATGCCAGGAAGGTGCTCATATATCCAACTCTACAAAAAACATTACTTAAATTTGTTTTATACATTCCTAAAATATATTAATTTTTTTTTGTAAAACTAAAATGTACCTATAGAAGAGTGGAATATCCAGTTTTCTGCTTGATAACAGTTAAGCTAGCATCTCCTAGCTGCTCATAAGTATGTGCCAGTGCAGCTGCTCCCCAAGAATATCTCGCACAACCATTCAAGTCTCGCAACATAAGGAGGTACAAGACCAGAATCAATGTCCCACTCTTATTCGTAAACATTCGTAAAAATTGTGCATCCAAGCAGATGCAACAAGTAGGCCCGAGCAGCGCACTCCTAAAGCTCCTACTCAATGCACTCTTGGTAGACCTCGCGGAGCCAACTAAGCCTAACTTTTGGACCACATGACTGTTTCATCTAGGCTGAAGCTTAGGCGCGGTCGACGCCAAGCAAGTCCATAAGATGAGATCGAGCCTCATCATACTCTAACTCCTCCACCTCACAAAATTGTCCCATGATAGGTAGATGGAGGAGATTGTGAACGTCATCTAGTGTGATGCTCATCTCTCCTACCGAGAGGTGAAAAGTATTCGTCTCTAGGTGCCACCTCTCCGCAAGGGAAACGATCAATCCATGATTGGCATACTCATATGATAGGCTGACTAAGGAAGCTAACCCCGAGATGGAGATATAAGGCTCAATAGCCTCATGGTACATTCCAAAATGTTTTAATTTTTTACCATGGGATATCACTTTGATCTCCCCTCGATCCTACATAAAAACACAAAATTATATAACAAAAATAAATAAACAATGAACAATTAACATTTAGGTTGATGACTAACTCGGCCTTGCCATATGACAAATGCAACATGCTGGGTATAATGTGTAAGCAAGGAGGTGTCACATGGACCTCCTGGAAATCCACCATCTTCAACTTCATCTTCAACTTCATCTTCAGCTTCATCTTCATTTTCATCTTCTTCCTCACTATAGTCCTCATGTTGTTGAACATCCTCCTACTCAACATAGTCGTCCTCACCATATCCCTATTATATAATTTTGTCCTGCTCCTCATACTCATCCTCATGAATAACATCCACACGATATTCTTCTACGCGTCTTTTACGAGCAGATGTCGTAGGTCGTCTCCTTTCATTATGTGATGAAGATGAAGGCTCACCATGAGAAGATGAAACCTCATCACAAGAAGATGATTCACCTCTAGTTCTAACCATTTCTATTAACCAATTATATTATTAACGAATTATATCATTAACCAATTATATACAAAAAAATAATTACATAATAATAAATATTGAAACAAATAATAAAGAATCATAAAATTAAAATTAATAATAAAATAATGAAGAAAAAATTAATAACTTAAATAATTACTTAATAAATAATACTTAAATAATTACAAATTATAACAAAAACATTAAAAATAAAAAATAAATTAAGAAACAAAATAATAAGTCAAAACTAAAAAATTTAGGCAAAATAATTATTATTTGATGAAATAAATAATTTCATAAAAATTACATATTAAAAACAAATTCAGAAACAAATTAAATAAAATTAAACAAAAAAGTATAAATAATAAATAATATATACAAAAATTAAAATTATAAAAAAACAACAAATTTAAAAAAAATTAACAAACAAAATAAAAAAAAGCAAAACATACTACGAAAACATATTAACAAAAAAATATATATATAAAATATGAAAAAAAATTACTTTAATATATTAACATAAATTTTCATAAGAAAACAAAAGAAAGAAAACCCATAAAAAGGCTTCACTACAGCTCCAACTTCATCCAACAGCAACTCCAATTCTGCAAAGCACCAGTGCACCTCCAACTGCGGCGTTCCTCAGCTGCACTTCACGAACTTTGGCCAACAGCACCTGCCGCACCTCCAAGTGCGGCTCTACGCGAACACTAAGCGCAACTCCAATTGTGACACGACTCTAAAATGCACTTTCATATGTAGCGGTGCCTTAACCGCAGTTACAAGTGCGGTTAAGGCGTCCCTCTCATATCATCTTTCCCCAACCCAGATCGAACATCCTAACCTAGATCAAGTAACCCCAACACTAGATCTAGCATCCCAACCAGCAAGCGTAACATAATAACAATAGATAACAGAACCAAACAATCATCATGCATTATATACGAGCAGCTTAAGGAAATCACACAACTAACTTGGACGCCAAAGCTAAGCTTGAAGAAAAACAACCATTGCTATGCTACACCTCGCCACCACAACAACACCGCACAACCACCAACAACAACACAACACAGCCACCAAACCAGAAACCAGATAGGAGGGAGGACGAGATTCAAAATAAATGGTCAAAGTGAAAGAGAGGAGGGGAGGACTGCTAGAAGAGAGGAGAAACAAAGGGGTATAGGGTGAGATATGAAATTCTACACATAAGAAGAAGGGAGGAAAAATGGGAGTAAGGTTTTCAAATGTGAAATGCGGCATTAGAGTGGAGAAAAGAGTAGGGTTTGCTTCTTTTTATTATTCAATGGATGGGTCAGCTTTTTTAAAAATTAAAATATTCCTGACAGGGTTGGAATTGGAAATATCAAAATAATGGGTGGTGCAGGGTGAAGTGAGTGAGGTGTAGGGAGAAACCCTCTTTACTCTTTTCTCTATTTTTCGTAGACAGGATGTCAACGGACGAGACATGAACAATTTCACTATCTCATACTCGTCTCTAGAGAAATAATTCATTCACATCCTCATATCAAGGCCTAACATCAATTTTTTTTCGTCCACATCCCCACCAGGTAACCATACATATTTTCTTATTATTTAAACATCAATTAATTAATTTTTATAAAATGATAAAAAATTATGGTAAAAGAAATATAATATTATAAAAATATTCAATATTAAATATGATATTTTTGTTTCATCAATATCAAATATTTAAAAATAAATTATAATTATATACAGATACCAAATAAAATTTTACGAAACCAAAACATTTATTAAATTTGCAAATGTTAATAAAACTTAGTTGATAAAATTTAAAAGTATGTTTAAAAAATATAAAAGGAAAAGAATATTCAAACAAATTAATAAGAATTTAATAAATGTATGTTTACTTCAATTTTTTAAATTATAATGAAATTTATTTTCTTATACACTAACAAAAATTTATAATGCATCACTTGATTAAAATCAAATAAAGAAAAAAGATTAAACTAATAATGATTGAAATTTAATATATATCTTTTATTTTTTGAACTTTAACATACGTTAGATGATGATAAAAAATGAGTGATGCTCTTTACATCTCACTTTTTCACCCTACACCTCCCAATTGACCGTTATGTTTCTTCATTCAATAAAATTTAAAAAAGTATAATGATAGTTTAATAATTTTTTAACCACCAACAACCCTTAATCATGTACTATTGTACTATAATAAAAATTAAAAAAATGTTAACAAATCAATAAAAAAGTTAAACAAAACCACAAAACACAACAAATTAAATTTAAATTAATAAATGAATCAAAAATAAAAAAATATACAACAAATAATTAAATAATAATTCATATTGAGAAATAAAATATCAATAAATAACTATAGATTAAAAAAATTAACAAACAAATTTAAATTTCGAAATTAAGAAAAATTAATTACATTAAAAATAAAATTTAAATAAATATCAAATATAAAATTAAAATTCAAATTACAAAATATTAATCGCAAAATATTTAATATTTAATATTTAAATAAACTAATAAAAAATATAAAAAAAATTAAATATAATAAAGCAAATCAAAAGAAGGAAAATCAATGCACTTGACCGTAGTTCAAGTTGCGACAATAGTAAAATCGCACTTCCAAGTGCGACAACCGTATTTTCAACTGCAACGCGGTATGAACCGCATTGCCAACTACGATTAGAGTGCATTTCAACTTGCGACGAGCTCTCAACCACACTTCCAAGTACGAAAAGCTCTACAACCCCTCTTTCAACGCTGACATGCTCTCAACCAGTGTGGTTAAGGCATCGACCTTTGTCTCATCCAGTCCATAAATGCATCCCAACACATACAAACAACACATACAAATACTCCATACAAACAATCCATAAAAGCAACACATACAAATGAATATCATCACATACAATCTTTCTAACATACAAAGCTTAAGGAAAGAACAACTAACTTGGATGCCCAGGCTAAGAAGAACCACCACTGCAAGCGCTCACCACGATACCACCACGACGACCACCGAGGAGAGGTTTGTGCACGATAACAAGTAAAGTGAGGGAGGAGGGGAGGATGAGAGGAGCACTACGTGCAAGAAAAGAGAAGAAAGGGGTGTAGGATTTCAGAACATGAAATGCGGCGGAGAAGTAAGGGGTGGTTACTTGCTTTTAAGTGTTAAATGGGTAAAAGTAGTCAAAAGATTCTTTGTGGTTCTAACAGGGGCACAGTTGGAATAATAGAAAAATAGGGAGGTGTATGATGAAACTGGTGAGGTGCAGGAAGAAACACTCTAAAACAATTCATGACAATTATATTAAACTATTATATTATAGTAAATAAAATTTATTTACACAATTATAGTGATAAATTATAGGTATGACAATGAGTAAGAAAATAAAAATAATTAGGGTTAAATATGTTTTTAGTCCCTAAACTATTGGTCGTTTCTGGTTTTCGTCCCTCTTTCAAAGTAAGGTACAATTTGGTCCTCATTTTTTTCGAAACGTTCGTTTTAGTCCTCGGAATTTTGGTTTTAGTCCTCATT